ACCACAACCAACCTGCATCACATCCCATATATATATATATATTCTGAGGCTGTAACAGAGAAATGGAGAAGAAATATAGGAGAAGGATTTGTGACCCTGTTTTTACCATTGACACAAGCCGGTAGTTAGTGTTTTGTTCTACGCCTCTGTAAAGCCTGCTGATATCTATCTCCCAGTCTAAAGCCTTTGTTGTTTCAGATATTTCTTTTTCAGTTTCACTCTTCTCCCATTCTAACACTAATGTTGCAAACCCACAAAACACCAACATTCATTTATCAACAGTATAATGAGTGAAACGAGTACATACGATCACAGTAATGGTGGTCAAAACTTACCGATTGTGAAAATAGGCGGGGATTTACTTATACTGTGATGAACAAAGTTTGTCTCTCCACAGCCTCCTGTTTTAACGTCACATACCAGTTTATTTTCCTTGCGGATCAGCTTAAGGATATCCACAAACTTCATATTCCCAAAAGCACACTGCGTATATATAAACACAGAACAGCTTTATAAGGGGAAGTACCTGCTTNTGTAGGAANGACAAAGATGATAANAAATGAANCATACCNTCACTTCTCTGATTGAACCTGCAGCCACAACAATACCATAAGCAATCTTTGAATCATTTGACTGCCTTCTGCATTTTCTACAACTCATTCTTTCATTTTCCTCGTATGTAAAAAGGCGAGTCACCAAGCTTTCTCTTTCCGGATTTTTCCAGCACTGCCAAAACTCAAGGATGTCTACAAGTACCCCAGCAGCATTACTCGACTGAAAAGAGTAAGAATAGAATAACTTTAAATCAGCAATTAAGCCTATTGAAAATATAAAAATAATAATACCATGCTTAGAAACTTATCATCTCCACACGAACCATGGGATTAACTTCTTCAAAAGAAGCAAGCAAGTCGCCCAAGAGGACACTGTAGATTCCCTCATTTTTTATCTCATCTGACACAAAAGCAGTAAAGAAATTTTGCAACGCAGAAGGAACTTGTTCTCCATGAAATGGTTGGCCATTGTGCTTTAAATCTTCTTTAAGAACCTTAATGTTCAAGAGGGCCTGCAATACCACATGTTTTTGTGAACTTATCCAAGAGGTAAANAGATATGGAAGCTGAAGACGAGAGTTTAGGTATTAAATTCTGTTTTTGTTGGTAGCTGCTTTACCTTCAGCGTCATGTCTAAAGCAGAATTGTATATGGCTGCAGCTTCTCCAGGCGCTGACTCCAACGGTTCCGGCAGTGAAGCTTCTCCCAGCATGTTTTGCATATCTTGAAGATGGCCAATGAAAGAAATAAGAATTATGCATAACACAAAACAGTTTAAATTATTGGTCAATTCCAAAGCTCTTTAACAACCATGGTCAATTTCAGAAGCTTCCTCTTGGTTGTCAGTGTTGGCTGAAATTGCAAGAGTATCTTCTTCCACCGTTTCTAGTGACGGAGATGTCCCTTCCAGTTCAACTTTAGAAGCCTCCTCTTGATTGTCAGTGTTGGATAAAATTTCCAATCCACCCCTTCCACTTGCAAGAGTATCTTCTTCCACCGTTTCTTGTGACGGAGATGTTTCTTCTGGTTCACTGGACATGTAGAACACGTTTTGCTCAGAGAAATCCCAAAAAAAATTTATCAACACGCAAAAAAGACTCTTGAGGTACTTACTGTTCAACAATCTTATCAAGGGGTCTAGACATGCTCGTTGAAGTCTTAGTTCTCTGTTACGCCATGAACACCATTCATTCTTATAACCGATTAACCGAAAAAGTCAGAGAAGCAAACAGGGAATTTAGAACTTCAAAGACCTTGGTGTTTTTATTTTTCTTCTTATTCTTTGACTGTGACTTCTTCTCCTCTTCAAGTGAAAAATCTGCTTTTGCT